GAATGCCATGTTTAGGAAATTATTGGGTTGTCTGAAAAGTGATGACACACTTTGGCATAGCAACACATAGAAAAATACATCATGACTTCTCAATGACCTAATAAAACTAAAGAGGCTCACAGAGATCCTACTGTCTTAGAAATCTTTTCATTGTGCCTCAGGCTAAAAGAAATACTCCAAAGTCTCATTTATTAAGTAGCTAGGTCCAAACAAATCAATAGTTGTAGTTGTTTAAACAGTCCAATAGATGTCACTGTGTTTCCCTCAAAAAATTAACTATCTCATAGAATCCCTAAAAATTCTGAGGTACCCCAGGATATAGCAACACATAGTTTATGAGTCTCAGCTTAAAGGAAACATTTTTCTGGCATAGCATCTAAATAAAATATCTGAATGGCCCTTCTATAGGAAGACTGTGCAACAAAATGGACAAGTGCTTTGTACAGTTCATCACTTTTTAGATCATTTGCTGCTGTTTCAATATGGTTGTTGCTGTTATAGAACAACAATACCAAACATTTTTCTCTTTCAAGAGGCATGGAGCTAGTATTTTAAATTTTGTGAAGTACAGATGATCTCTTGCATATTCTTTTTTCATCTTTTCTCTTACAGCCTTTAGGCTTGTAAAAACCATATCGGGGGAACCAGCAGTTAGCGTAATGGCTATGTCGCTGGACTCCCATGTAGTCGACCACGGTTCGCGTCCCAGACCCGGTGGCTTAAAACTCACGCCGGGCGCGTGTGCGTGTGTGCCCAAGATCCCGAGAGGAGAATGGAGGAGAAGGGATTGCGGCGTGACCATCCCCCCTGGGGGGTGATTTCTCGCTTTCTGTCTGTCTCTCTTTGTGGGTGATTTCTCGCTTTCTGTCTGTATGTCTCTCTCTGTCTGTCTAGCGAGCGCACGTGCCCTATAGTAAAAATCTCTAAAAAAAAACATATGGGGACCAGCAGATGGTGGAATGGTTATGTTGTTGGACTCCCATGTAGTCAATTGTGGTTTGAATTCCAGACCTGCCATCTTAAAACTCATGCCTGACCCATGGGCATGTGTACCTATGTGTCCAAAATCCAGAGAGGGGATGGAGAAGGGATTGAGGCACAGCCATCTCCCATGGGGGTGATTTCTTGCTTTCTCTTGTCTCTACAGCAAGTACATTGCCCTACAGTAAAAATCTCCCTTGAAAAAAAAAAATTCCTATTTCTTGAATTTAGCCCACTGGCTGCAGTTCTCCAGCCCACTGCTACAGCTTGGAAACTCATGCTGGGTCTGTGTGTATGCCCAAAACGCCGAGAGAATGGAGAAGGGATCGAGGCATGGTCATCATCTCCCCACCCCATGATTTCTCACTTTCTCTAGCAAGTACATGTGCCCTATATTAAAAAATCTCTCTTAAAAACAAAAGCTTATGGTAGAATATTAAAATATAATTTTGTGAGGGTGATACTGCAAGGTTGAAAACTCTTGTGTGTTTATTTCTTTAAGGAAGACTTGTGCTGAAATGCTTGATTTCAAAGGTATTGTAAACAGAACTGTCATGAAATTTTCTTGCTCTAAATTGATTTAAGGAGAATTTGCAAGTTATTTCAATTTAATAAAGACTCTTTGTCACATAGCAAGAAAAGGAGACTTTCTGGCTAACAAAACCTTATAGTCCTAACAAGGCAATCCTTAGTTTATAACGTACTTGGTAAAAAACTGGGTACAACATGCTATTTGAGATTTCTAGCTCTTATTACCAAAATTAGTATGGCTGTCTTGAAACTATGTTTTGCGTTTAGTCCTTAGTCTTTATGTCAGCTATTTCAAAAAATCCTGTATCACAAGTCCGAAGTTCCTATACTAGTCATAAAAGAGAAAAGTACACTGGTTCTAGTAGTCCTTAAGGAAAAGAAAGAAATTTCTTCAGGAAATTTCAATCTCTCTCTATTTTTTTAAAAAAGGTACATCTTAAAGAAAAATGTACCCTACAGATTTTTCCAAGTTACAATCTCTTACAGCCTCAACACAAAACATGTTTGTTCACTGAAGCTTTCTAAGAACTTAAGTCCACACTCCTATTCAACATTATCATAATCACCCTGAAATTACATTTCATTATTAAATTTATTCATGTGACAATGATATGGAAAGACCCTGAATTCACGAATAACTCAGGGCTGATAGCTGCCTGAAGTTTCTGCCCTTTGGCAAACTTACTACCCCTCCTAAGAGCTACAGGGTAAATTGAACATCTTGAATGGATTAGTAACTGAAAGGATTAGTGCCCTGAATAGATTAGACTTCAGGCTTCTCTGACCCCACCCTTTGACGCTAGGAAGGGATGATTCTGAGCCCAGTCCCCACCCAGAAACCTCCCCTTCCCTAATTCTCTCATAAAAGATCCAACCCACTTCCCTGTGCCTGCTGCCCTAATAAACAGTTCTCCTAATCTCTCAGAGTGCTTGTTTCCATTTCTTGGCATTTGGTTTTCTGCAACGATTTAGTGACTGAGGTTTTTCACCCATACAGACTCCAATGCATCACAAGAGAATGTCTGTTTTGGTCCCATTCTATCTCTGAGCACACAGAATTGTACCCACTGCCTAACAGATGATCAATAAATATTTGTAAATTTATGGTTCAAGGGTACAAAAATCACATTTAGCCAGACTATTTCAATGGAAAGAAAGCATTAAGTCTTAATGCCTAGTAACTAAGATTCTCAATAACAGAACCACCACTAATTTTCCTGGGTCATTAGAAACATTTAATCTTTAAAGGTATTTTCTTATCTAAATAAAAAGCTGAGGTATTTGTTTTAAAATGTATCTTAAAAATATCTAACTTTACTCCTATCATTATTAATTTGTATAGGGCACTTGCGCTCTGAACTTCCACATGGCCAACTGAAAACTGACGTACTTTTTTAAAAAGAATTACTTTTAAAGAATTTGCTACAGGGCACGTGCGCTCTGAACTCCCACAGGCCAACCTAAAACTGAGGTATTTCTTTCTACCTGACGCCACCTCGCTGGGATGTAAGAATCATGTGGGAAGGAGCCCGTTTATTAGCTTTACAACAGGCAGGTGCGTTACCAGTACAGCCAGTCCAGGCCGCTCAGCGCAGCTACTAAGGTACCTCCGCATCACCCCGTTATGTAAGAAGTCCGCATTTCTGATGTCCTCTAGAATCCCTGACCGCGCGCCAGGCGGTCGCTACCTCCAGAACGCCCCAAGAGGCCCTGAAGAGAGGTGGAGTTGGGTGGGGTGGGGCCAGGGTGGAGCGCGCCCGAAGCGAACCGACAGCGGCAGAAAGGTTCCGGAGCCACGATTCAGGGCCGGAAGCCCCATCCGACCTCGCGGCTCGCCAGCGGCGGTCTGGTTCGAACGTGACCCTGTTTTGGCGTTGCTAGGAGACCTAGCTCTCTCGCGCGCCCACTGGTCGGTGCAGGGCGACGCGCGGGAAGGGGGCGGGGCCGCAAGCGGGCCGAGAGCAGCCGCGTGAGCACCGTTAGGAGGTCTGGCGCTCGGCGCCGCCTCGGCGCCCCTGGAAGCGGCGTCTCTTCCCTGCTACGGGCCAGGCCATGCTGGTGTCCATGAACTGGTATTACGGAGCCTTTCCAGCAGCTGAGAAAAGCGTTGAGTCTGGATCCTCAGGTGAGCTGCGGCGAGACCGAGGGCCGGGGTAGCCACGCCCTGCCAAGCGAGAAAAGCCGGTGGAGCACTGAAAGCTGAGCTGAGGTGAAGGGACCCTGCTAACAGAGAGGGTGGATCTGCCCTGATGGGGGTCGTAAGTCGGATCACCGTCGCCTGAGGGAGCGGCACGGCGTGGCCAAAGAGTGCACTCTCCGGCCAGCGGAGACAGGGTTAACACGCCGTTGGTGACTGCGGGCCCCGGATGTGAGAGCCGCGGCGCCGCGCCTTGGAGCCGAGCTGCAGGTGCGCCGTCGTGGGCGGAGCCGTGGGAGCGGTGGTGACCTGACCGACCGGGCTTTCCGCTCCCCTGCAGGGGCCGCTGGGCTCCTTCCGAGAGCGCCTTGTTTTCTAACTTAAGGGCAACAGGTGGTGCCAGTGGACCGAGAGAGGGAGCCCTACTCCGCCCCTCTGGGAGCGGCAGTTATCTTCACCAATTAAGGTTTGGGGGCGGGAGTTGAGTGGCCACCCGGACTCGATCGACCAATGGAATCTATAATCATGGTTGAGCCGCGAGGAGGGGGCGTGGTTACACTCTGGGTCCAAGGTTTCTAAGTGCAGTAAGGGCCAGATCTGCATGGTGAGCTTTCCTGCGCGGTCGTGGGGTGTTACACCGCCCCCCGTGAAAAAAACGCCTGCTGATGCTTTCTCATTTGGATCAAGATTTCAATTAGGGAGGTGAGAACGTTATTTCGGGGGTAGGGTAGTGGTAAAGTGATCTTGAGTATGCTGTTAAGCATGTGGAATTGGATCCTCAAGACAGGATATCTGTTTTGAGTTCTTTGCCCCAAAGAAAAAAAAAAAAAAAAAAAGAAGAAAAAAAAAG